GATCCTTGATAAATTCTTTATTTGCAAAATTCTCATCATACATATTAAAATATTTCTCACTGTAGTTCTTTACGCTCCTTTCCAATTCAGAAATTCTCTCTCAATTCTTTATTCTCTCTCTCAAAAGAAACTGCCATTTTCCAACAAATTGATTAAGGATCAAATGCTGTGAAATCAGATTAAAGAAATCAAAATCAGTTATGCTCAAAAACAAAACAGAAAACACAAAAACTGACGAGAAATTAGAAAAACAACGAAAAACTGTCAAAAGTCAGTAAAAACAGTCAAAACTGTTGAAAATAGTTAAAAACTGTTAAAAACGGTTAAAACTGATTAAAAATAGTTTACGCAATCCAAAATAGTTCAAGAAATCTCAAATAATTTAAAAACAAAAAAAAAAACAAAAAAACACAAAAAAACAGTTAAACAGATAAAATTTGATCTTAAATAAAATGAAAGAAGCCCAAAACAAAATGAAACCAATTACAAGAATTACAGAAAAACCAATCAAAGTCACGACTAAAAGATTATCCGAGAACAAAGACTTTACAATGATCAAACAAACAAGATTGAATCTGCAACAACCTCTAAAAATTGATGAACCAGAAAATCTGTTATGCAACCCACAATAATGCATACATCTTCTCTCTTTACAGCTGTTCAAAATCAGCAACCTGTTGTACCACAATCATCACTACCTCTGATTCAGTATCATCAACAATCAGTCCTAAGACAACAAAGACAGCAGTAACAATCTCCTATTGCTTACTAGCAACAAGTACAATCATCATAGGCGCAACAACAGCAGACTCAGTCACAGCCAAATTCAATGGGACAACAGGCAAATGCTACAAACATGCAACAAAACCAGCTCATTGGACAACAAAGTCCTTCGATGCAATATGATGTACTGTTAAATGTGAAATCAAAGTTGTTGTGTAACTTGATATGAGCACAAGCACTACAAAAACCCAAACAGTCACCACAAATCTTGACAAATTACACTGCATATTCTACCTATGAACAGGCAAACCAGAGAGTTGTTCCAATTTACTGTCTTGTTGAACCTTGGAATTCGAGACATATTTGCTGTGATCGTTATATCCTCAATAGCAGCATCAAATTCTTCAATATGGGAACTGCATCTTACTGAGTAAACAACTGATCTAAACTTCAACTCTTTTATGTAAGATTGAGATTTTAATGAATAGAACCAGACTACAGTTTGTATAATTCAATGACACACTTCCTAATTCTTCTTTCACTCTGCATAATTCAAGTGCTTCAGCAAATGGTATGAGTGCAAAATGTCCATAATTCAATTGCTTCAGCAAATGGTATGAGTGCAAGTGTAACAAGGGATGAAGCTTCTCTTGCTCAAATTCAACAGTTGGGGGATTCTCGATTGCAATCACAAGGATTGTGTAGTATTGTCCATACACCTCTGGTTCAACAAACCCTATAAACTCGACTACAATTCAAACCACTTACGGTTCAACCAACCCTTACCATCCATTTGTCGAGACCCAACAACAGGTTCAAATCGATAGGATCACTCAAGCCACAAGATTCGAGACTGTTTCAGCAAAGCCCTGCCAAATGAAACAAACTGTCGTTGACCCACACTCTAATTATCTCCAATTTCTAATACTGGTGCATTGACTCCAGAAACACAACAGGTGAGAAAACCAATTTACAGAGAAGGGTTGCAGAATTAGATGAGATGATGAAGCAGGTAATCGAATGAACAATTGATTGAGTTAAACCTAATCCAGACAAGGTAAGCGATTTAACGAATCCGGTCAAGTCTAATTTGAATCAATGAGCGATTTAGATATCCGATCAACCCAATCGAGCGATTTAGGAATACGATTGATTAATTGTGCTCGATTAGAAATCCGTGCAAGGTGAGTGTGCGATTTACTAAATCAGAGACCCTATGCAATATGAGCGATTTATGTAAATTCGATCATGCCTTGTGCGAAGAACAGCTTAAATCGGCTAAACCTTGTCCGAAATCGGCTAAACCTTAACTCTTGAGCGATAAAAACAAAGTCCAGACAAATCAAGACAAGCAATTTAGACTGAAAACTATTATGGTGATGTTTGATTTAGGTCAAGACAGGTGGAGATGAATTTGTGCGATGAATATGAAAGACTTGTGCGATGAACAGATTTTAACCAAGAAAGGTCAATAATGTGAAAAACAGATGGGCTAATACGAATGTACTCTAATCCATTTGGACCTTTGCACGATTTTGAGCCCAAAAAAAAGAATTTGTTAAGACCAAGAAATCCGGCTAAAACTTCACCAATCTAGCTGAGCGGTTTATGAATTTAAACAGATCAAACCAAGTCAGAAACAAAAAAAAAATCAACTTTTTCACCAAATTATGGATCAAAAACAAACATTTTAAAGAATTTTCAAGAACACAAAAAAAAATTAAAACACAAATTTCACCAAAAACTTGAAAATCAAAGATCAAAACGCAAATCTTTGTGTAAAACAAAGATTCACGAAGCAAAAACACACACAACGATCATGGTTTTAACACAAAAACACAAGATTTTGAAAACAAATTGGATCAAACTAAAAAAAATTAAGAACAAGATGAACAAAAAAAATTCAAAAAATTTCATAAAAAAAATCTTCAAAACCAATGATTTCTTCTTCTGATTTCGTGCATAATCCGGCTCTAATACCAATTGATGTTCCCTAATAATCAATCTACAATACTTTCAATGAATCAATTGCAGAATATTGGATTTAACTATCAAGAACATTCAAGAGAGAGTTGAGAGAAAAAGTCAATTCCCAAATCTGGTCAAACTTTATTACGTATATCTATTAACAATTGAGCTCTTCTCACCAAATTACAAGAAATTAACCCTTTATATAGGGTCAAAGATGTAAACAAAGTCAAAGTCAAACACTCTACAGAAAAGTCAAACACGATGACTTTTATACAATTATAGACAAAATTAACTTTCAAGACGAATACAATTTATCACTGAATTTCAGTCCTAACAATGTGGATTGGAAGGGTATGCCAGATTTTTGGGATCATAATAAGGGAGGAATTTTGATGCAAGGAGGTTGCCTAAGGGGTTAATTCATAAACTAGCTCTCGTGCCTTAGTTGTATTTTGCTGGCATGAGCGGAATAGAAGATTGTTACTGATCAGAAACGAACGGTATGCAGCTTGTCAAAGAGATAAAGAGTAAATAACATCTTTACTCGTGCGGCTTGGAGGCATAATAAGAATGAGAAGACATGTTTTACGAATGGTCCTGATCATTTGTTTGGCGGGTTTTGGTGGTTTAAAGGCGGATCCTTGCTTTGGAGGAGGCTTATTCTCATTCCGTTATGTAGTTTTTTTTCCTGTTGGGCTTTGTACCTTCTGGCTTCTGGTTGCTTGGTATGGTGTTGTGACCAAGTTTTTCTATTTTGTCGTTTGCCTCTGGTGGTGGCTTCTGGCCTAACTCTTGTTTGTTTTTCCCTTTTTTTCTAGATTTTTCTGGTTTTCCTTTCAAAAAAAAGATCAAAAGAACCCGTTAAGGACCACTAAGACCATTTCAATTCCCTTATGTGCCAATTAGATATGTTAAGGGGTTTGACTTTTTCTCTCAAAGTGGCATGAACGTATGAAGATGAAGATGATGATTTCGATTGTTCATTGGTGATGGTTATGCGTTTCTTCTCTTCAATTTCGTTTTGCTTGGCATTGTTACTTGGTTTGCATTTGTGTTTCCTTCCACGACAGACTTGTTTCACGATTTAGGGTTCTTGCGGTTTGTCTTGGAGGCGACATTAGGGTTACTACTTTGAGGTTGGTTTTTCGTTTTACTTTGTGCGATTTCCTTTCTTGATTGGTATTGGTTCTTTGTCTCCTCTTCTCCCATTGTTGGCAATCCGTATTTTTCTTTGAGTTTGATTTGATTCGGCTAGGGTTTTCGACTTTTCTCTTCTTGGCCGTGTAGTGTATTGCTACGGCTAGGGTTTCTTCTTGGCCATCGGTTTTTTTGCATGCTAGGGTTTGAGGCCGTGTAGTGTATTGCTCACGGCTAGTATTTCTTCTTGGCCGTCGGTTTTTTGCATGCTAGGGTTTGAAGCCGTGTAGTGTATTGCTCACGGCTAGGGTTTCCTTCTTGGTATCATTCTTGGCCGTAGGGTTTTGCATGCTAGGGTTTGTGCCGTTTCTTTTACTTTTCTTGGTGGTACGTGTGTTTGGTTCTCGTGGATCTTTGATTGATTTGGTGGTCTTTGCTTCGGAGTTTGATCTTTTGTGGCTTATTCCTTATTTTTCGTCGTGATATTCTGGGTAGTGTTTTTTATCTAGTTTTTCTTATTTCATGTGTCAAGTGTTTATGTGGTCTTCGTTGCCTTTCTTGAGTTACTTAATAGAATATTCAGCACCTCCTTGTGGGGTCTTCGTTTATTTTATTGAGAACACTCTTTAAGGGTTTCAGCACCGCGGCTTCTTGACTAGGGATAGGGGGAATTAGGTATTTTTTTGTCGTGTGGTAAAGATGTTAGACTTTGCGGATGTAATTTTGGAGGATCCTTCTTCTAACGATTTTGCTGAGGTCATTCTTGGAGAACCGGTTACTGGTGACTTGCATGGGACTCCTTTGCATGGGGATGCAAAGGAGGCGCTGTTGAAGGGGATTGAGGAAAATTTGGGTCCCGCTAAAAGGGTTTCGGTAGCACATCACCTGCAGTTTTGGGTGGGAGTAGTATACACCATCAAAAGTCCTTTGCTGAATTTTTTTTTGAACGGAAACCAGACAATTTTATAAACAAAAAAAGGAATTACATAAAAAAAAAAACCGTATGACCACCACCTAACCAACAAGAAAACCAAAAGACCTTACCACAAGCCTATACCAAGTCACCAAAAGCCAAAAGGAACAGAGCCCAACATAACCAAACAAACAACAAAAGATAAAGAAAAGGAGCTTAGCATTCAGACAAGCTCCACAAAACCACCAAAAAACCTTCATAGCACAGCAACGCTTGGCGCCCCTCTTCTATCCACCCAAGCCGCACGAATGGAAATCGTATTATTGATAATTGTGATAAGTTGCACAGTTGTACGGCTAGCTTCAGAAAAAAGTCTTCTATTTCTTTCTTGCCAAATATAATAAACAGAAGCTGTAACCACAAGCCTCTGCTTTAATCGCTTAGGCTGACGATTACGATCCGAAAGAATATCCACAATTTGATCCCAAGACGACGGCATAGTCCTCAAGTCCACAAGGATCAACATACTTTCCCAAACCTCCCGAGCAAAAACACATTGGAAGAATAAATGAGCATGGCTATCAATACAATTACCACATAGCGGACACTTCAAATCCGGGGCTTCATCCTTCCAAATTAGACAGTCTTGTGTAGGGAGACGTCTCTGACAAGCAAGCCATAAACATAAAGCATGCTTAGGAATATGATCCGAGAACCAAACCGATTTATACCAAGGTACAATCGGGTGATTCCCATCCAAAGATTCCCAARCAGTACTGACCGAAAACAGAGACCGAGAAGTGCAATCAGCCCCCCAAAGAACTTCATCACAAACATCATCATTCAAAGATGGAACAGAATAAGAACTGAGCATAGTAATCCTGTTACACCACTCTTCCGGCCAGACCCCATCCATACTCATAAGAAGGTCTCGAACCGATGTGCCAGTCGAGAACCCACAAGAATGTATAAACCGATAGGATAAGAAGGCCGAAAGATGACCACAAGCCAGCCAAGAGTCCTCCCAAGCATTAGTATCCCGACCATTACCAATCTTGGAGAAAAGAAAACATCGCAAATGAACTCGTAAATCCAACAGCTTACGGAAAACCCATGACCAATTGGAGCTCTTCCGAACCAGCCAGAAATGAGAAGAGCGAAGAATATGATGATACACCCATCGTACCCACAAAGAATCACGATGTCTAAGAATATCCCAAACATGTTTCGCAAGTAAAGCCCTATTCCAGGTAGCAATACGCCTAATACCAAGACCGCCTGACTTAATGGCCTACACACCACATCCCAAGATAACCTGCACCTACCTCGCGGATTTTCCCTTGGGGCCCACAGGAATTTTCGGAAAATAGATTCAAGATCATGGGCTAACCCTGATGGAAATAAGAACACAGACATCCAATGAAGCTGTATAGATTGAAGGACCGAAATAATGAGTTGTCTTCGTCCCCCAAAAGAAAGGAACTTAGACTTCCAATTAAAAATACGACCTTTAACCCTAGCTATCAAAGGTCCATAATCAACAATCTTCAACCTAGCTTGAGATAAAGGGACACCCAAGTAACGAACAGGAAACATACCATGCTTGAACGGAAGACTCGCAAGAATGGTCTCCTTAATGTTAGAAGACACATTCCCAAAAAAGACCTCACTCTTTTCAAGGCTAGGTTCTAACCCCGAACGTTGCTGAAAAAGACAAAGAGCCCTTTTAAGAACCTCCACCGACTGGACATCGCCTTTAGTAAAAACAAACAGATCATCCGCAAAACAAAGATGCGTAATATCCAGAGCTTCACAACCCCGATGATAACCAAAATCAGTAGCCTCCTGAATACACTGCCGAAGAATCATAGAAAAGCCCTCCATGACAATAGTGAACAGATAAGGCGATAAAGGATCCCCTTGCCGAAGACCCCGACCTCCATGAAAAAAACCGTAAGAATTGCCATTTATCGCCAGAGAATATGAAGTAGTGGATACCATCTCCCTTATCCAATTAACCATAACCGGATGGAATCCCAACCCCTATAACATAACAATGAGGAACTTCCAATCCACCGTGTCATAGGCTTTTTTAATGTCTATCTTAAACGCGCATCTAGGAGGGCCAACCAAAGACTGATACCCAGAAACAAGTTCATGAGCCATAAGGATATTATCCGTTATCCTCCTACCCGGGATAAAAGCCGACTAGGACTTATCAATAAGAGAATCCAGACGCCCCTTCATTCTATTAGCAATAACTTTACTAATGCATTTATAAAGAACAGTACAACAAGCTATAGGTCGGTAGTCCGTAACCTTAGAAGCATTAGCAGATTTGGGAATAAGACAAATAAGCGTGTGGTTCAGTAATTTCGGAAGATTACCTCGATAGAAAAAATTGTGGACCGCAATCTCCACATCCCGGCCAATGATCCCCCATGCAGCCTTGAAAAAATTTGAAGTGAACCCATCAGAGCCTGGGGCTTTATGATTTCCAATGCTAAACATAGCATTTTTAATTTCTTCATTCGTGACCGGCTGAATCATATCAAGAGTATCTGATAGAGTTAACTTCCTCGTAAAAGAAGTATCAGCCATGACCGAGTCTGTAGAAACATTCCGAACACCAAAGAAACTCTTAAAATAATCCACGAATTCTTTAGGGACATCATCACCAGAGACGTAATTGCCCCGACTAGTACATACAGACGTGATAGAGTTAGAGTGATGACGATCTTTAATCACCCTATGGAAAAACTTCGTATTCGAGTCACCTTCATTTAACCATTTGACTTTGGCACGTTGCTTGGCAGCACATTCTTCATCCCAACAAGCCAATTGATAAGAAAGACGAATATCATCAAGATCCCTTCCCAAATCAGCATTAGAAGGATCATTATCCACATCGATCTGGATCCGGTCTAACTCAGTTTTCAGAAAAGCAGCACGTTGTCCAAGATTTCCATAGGTATTCCTCAGCTTACGAAAAGGGACCTTGAGAGCTTTCAGGTGAGAAGTTACCCGAAACATAAAGGATCCCTCAATATATTTGGACCATTCCTCTTGAACAATCTGCAAGAAATCCGGATGTTCTGTCAGGAAATTATCAAATTTAAAACCATACCTCCTTTTTCGAGATCCTCCTTTAAAAGATAAGACACCCGGAGAATGATCAGAAAGACCAGCCGGAAAGAAATGAACAGTAATATCCTGGCACTTAGAAGTAAACTCTGAATTAGCCATAATTCTGTCCAATTTATGCATGATACCCCCAGAAGCATTCGGCTTTTGGTTCCATGAGTAATGGACACCTGTGTAGTTTAGATCGAAGACTTCAACATCCTCAATACAAGCAAAAAAATCCCCCATGTCAGCATTACGACGAGAGGACCCACCAAAACCGTCATGAGAGAAAAGCATGGTATTGAAATCCCCCATTATGGCCCAACGTTGCGCACCAAGCAAGACTTTAAATTTCCTCAATCCCGACCATAATTGTCTTCTAGCATTGCATACATTGGCACCATAAACAAACGAGCAAAAGAAAACCTCCTGGTTATCTCGTAAGATAATCTTACAATTCAAGAATTGATTGTGCACCTCCAAAAGCATAACATCTAAAACTCGTGAATCCCATGCAATGATAATACGAGTTCCAGAATCACATTCCACTTGGTTAGAAATCCAAGACCACCGACCAAAAATAGAAGAGCAAACATTCACAAGGGAATCCCTAGCGACATGAGATTCTATTATTGAACACAAACACAAATCATTACAATGAATAAAAATTTTCACCTCTTTTTGTTTAGCCGGAGAATTAAGTCCCCGGATGTTCCATGAAGCGAAATTCAACATGATGAGGTATTTGAATCAACCCCTCTCTCCCGGCAATCCTCAATCTGGTCTGTTACCCCTTCGGTTTGGTCCCCCACATGAAGATCCACGTCACCCAACTTCTCAAGAACACCAAATTTGTTAGCAGCTAAGGGGGGATCCCGGATTACACCCCTCCGGGCCAACCGAAAGTTTTTAACCACATAATCAATAAGGGGGGTAGCCTGGGTCCTAGAATGGGTAGAGTGGGAAGAGTGGGTAGAGGAAGACCCCGAATCAACACCAACAGGATGCGTACCTGAGTCGTTAGTCACCTCATTACGTCCAGTTTGCTTAGAAGGATCCAAAGAAATACCCTTATTACGATCATCCATTTTCTCTTTACCCGAGGTGCTGGCACCCACATCCTCCGGCATAGAGACTTGCCTTTCCATAACTTTATCTTGCCGAGGAACAAGATTTTTAGCATCACCTCCTGATTTAACGCGCCACTGTTTCTTTTCCACTCTAACAAAGCCTTCTTCATCTTTCCTCCTCTCCACATGCTTACCATTGTTAACAGATTTAGGGCAAGACGACGATTTATGTCCAAAAACTTGGCAATAGGAACATTGAACTGGCTCCCATAGATATTCCACCTGGATTTGCACTCTTTCAGCTTCCCCTCCATTGAGATCAGGAATTTCAACCTCAATTTGTCTTTTCAAGTCACCGATAGCCCATTAGAACTTTTGCGAATCCCGGTCGACCCCATGCCTTTTCACACATTGCCGCCGTACAGGAATCCATTTGCTTCGGAACCCCCAACACACTAGCGATACGACTGACTCCCTCTTTATTGAAAGCAACCAAGGGAATATTGTGCAATTTTACCCATAACGGGCAGGATGTATGTTCAGGTTTCCTTAACCCCTTAGAAGGATCCCATCGACGAACAAAAAGAGGTATGCCTCTTATCATTAGCGGGCCTGCTTCAATTACTTGATCACATCCACCAATATCATTAAACTTAAAAAAGAATATACCATTTTCATTTAGGATCGCATCTTTAAACCCATATTTTCCCCATGCCAGTTTGACGTAATTTTTCACCAAGGGAAAAGGTATGCGCGGACCCAGAAAATATCCATACAAAACCGAGTTATACGCTTTAGCAGCTTCCTTAGCCATTTCAATAGGTATTTTTACATTCACCTGTTTCTTATCCGCTAAAGGGTAGAAATTTAAATTTGTGTCACTCGCTTGTCCCACAGCTTTGGCAAAATTTAACTTTCCACTGACCAGATTCTCCGAACCCAAAGGCACTTTATCCGCAACATCATTATCAAAATGTGAAAGCCGATCAAAAACTGAGATTCGGGTAGGATCAGAAGGCTGAACCGAAACATCCCCCATTTCCATGGAACACTCTAAGAAGCCAAGGTGCTGAAATTTTCGTATAGTGCCCTTAATAGAATAGACGAAGACCCTAGAAACTAGGGTGCTGAATATTTATCAAGGGAATTCAACAAAAATGACGAAGACCAAGGAAACACTTAGAATGAACGTAAGAAATAGAAAATGAGAAGGAGCGACCAAACAGAATCACAGCAGCCAGCAGCAAAACAAACAGATCACGGGCTACCAGCTAAGAAAACAAACAGCAAGATACAAAATCAAAACAACAAATACCTCTCAACACGATTCTGCAGCCAAAGAAAACGCCCAGCAACTACAGCACAGCCCGAACCAGCAGCTTTAGAGAGGAGCAGATCACATAAAATCATATGCAAAACAGCCCAAAAACAACCAACCATGGCCAATCAAGAAGAATCCAGAAACAATGGTTCTCGACGATCAGTAGCACATAAAGAACCGGTAGAAGCAATATCACGACAGTAGCAGAAAACGGTGAATGATATCAATACCATAAAATCTTTTACCAACACAGCCCCAATCAGATAGTTCAAAACAGGAGAGAAACACATGTTAAGCCTCCTACAAAACCTGAACAAACCAGTCGCAACACAAGCCAAAGAGATGGTAGAAAAGCCGCTGATAATATTGTGAAAACAGCAGCTACGTAGCCGTAGCAGATCAACGGCAGGTAGAATCCGTGTCCAGTAAGCGAAAGCCACAAAACCAGTCTCAACACAAGCCAAAAAAAGGAGAGTAGATCCGCTGTTAATAACGAATGAAAACAGCAGCTACTAGCCGTAGCAGATCACCAACAAAATAGATACCGTGGCCACGAAGCAACAGCCACAAAAAAAATTGGAAGAAACCCTAGCCGTACCAAAACCCTATATCGCAATCCAGGAAAAAACCGAACACAACAGCCAATCAACTAACCACAGAAGCAGACGTAAAGACCAGTCGAACAACAACCAAAAACGTAAAACCAGTACGGTAATGCAAGAAACCCTAAAAACAAACGGAGGCCAAAACACGTGGAAACCGAAAAAGATAGAAACCCTACCTCCGAAACAAGAAAAGATAAACGATGAAGACAAAGGAAGAATCAAACACGAAGGTTGATCCTATCATCGACCATCATCATCTTCAAGATCGAACATCGAAACCCCATCCTAGAGAGGAAAAGTCAACGTGTGGTCAGACCTTAATAGGTATAATCAGACGTTAATGTGAGTAATTGAGGAAGAATGGGTCTTAGCGGTCCGTCCTTTGCTGAAATTGTTGGTAGCACTTCAAACTCAAGAAACTGATGTACTACCCGGTTGAGAAGAGTGTGAAACCGAGGATTCAATTTACTTTGGAAACTACGAGGGATATGGCTAAATCATTCCAGTCGGTTCTTTATGGCTAGTTTTTGGGACCTCGTCTTCCATTTCCAATTGTTCTGCGTGCGGTTCAAAATGCTTGGGGCAAGTTTGGGCTGATTGGATGCAATGGTAAACGACCTTGGATACTTCTTTTTTTCGATTTAATGATAATGGTGGTTGCAATCAAGTGGTTGAGTCGTCTCCCCTTACGATTCGTGGGAGCCCTCTTTTTGTCTCCACATGGGATCCTTGAAAGGGGCTTACTAAACCTAAACATACCTCCTGTCCGTTATGGATTAAATTCTATAATATTCCTCTTGTCGCTTTTAATAGAGAGGGTATTAGCCGAATTGCTAGTGCTGTTGGAGTCCCTTTGCGTTTGGATGCTTGTACTGCTAGTGCTTGTGATAAAGCATGGGGTCGTACTAATTTTGCTAAAGTTTTGGTGGATGTTTGGGCCGTGGGTGAAATTCAGAAGCAGATTGAAGTTGTCATTCCGAGGCTTTCGGGTGATGGTGAAGATGTGATAAAAGGTAGTTATGGAATATGATTGGGTGCCTTCTCAATATTCGAAGTGCAAAGTTTTTGGCCATAGTATGAATTCTTGTCTGAAAGGGGTATTCAAAAACAAAAGGAGATTGTCAAGCCGTTGAATAATGATGGGTTTATAGAGAAAAAGCGTAAACAATGGAAGCCGAAACAGAGTTTAGGGTCTAGTAATGGTGCTCAGGCTACTTCTTCAGGTGAGCCTTCTAATTTTCACGAGACGATAGTTGGAGTTGGTACTATAAAGCCGGTTTCTGATGTACCGTCTAAATTGGGAGTGAATAAAAAGGATAAGGAGGTTGTTCAGTCGGTCGATTATGCTTTCTCAGTTGGGGAACGTAGGGAACATGATGAAAGTCAATATTGTACGATGGATGCGGGGAGAACGCCAAGAGGAAGGGATGATGTTTCGAATGTGACTATTCGATCAAAGGGGGGGTCCAGAACTTGTAAAAGCGGTGATTCAAGCGATGAAACCAAGACGCGGTGCAGTTTTCTCTACGTCTACTAGTAATAGATTTTCCCCACTACCTTCTGATGATTCTAGTGATGATGATGATATGGAGATAATTGACACTGAGGGGCATTCTATGGACTATAGTAAAGGGGCAATACCCACTTCACTCTCTCAATGATTAAGATCGCTGCGTGGAATATTAGGGGTCTAAATGCCCTAATAAAGCAAAAGGAGGTACGTGATCTTATTAATTTAAAGCATCTTTCTTTATGTTGCATCATTGAGTCCAAAGTTGTACATAGTCATCTGGAGGATGTGTGTGGTAAAGTGTTTGGAAATTGGAGTTGGATCTCGAATGGGAGTTTGTGTGATCAAGGGACTCGTATTATAATTGCTTGGGATCCGTCTGTTTTGTCCCTACTTATGATTGAGCAACACTTACAATATGTTCATTGTGAAATTTGGATTCTGGGTCATTTGGAGCCAATTTTTATTACTTTCGTTTATGGGTGTAACACGGGAGTGGAGAGGAGGGAACTCTGGCGGGATATTAATAAATTCAGTGCTTTTGTTCAAAGAAAGGCATGGGTCGCGATGGGGGATTTCAACTCAATGCTATTTCCTCATGATGGCTTGGGTGGCTCCTCTAGACGTAACTCAGATGTGGAGGAATTTCATTTTTGTCTGGAAGAAGTTGAACTTTTTGATATCTCGTATCAGGGGTGCCAATTTACTTGGACGCAGAAACCCTCTGGGGGAAATGGTATTATGCGTAAACTTGACCGTATTTTGGGTAATTCAGCTTTCATTTCTAGATTTGGGGATGCATCTGTTTTCTTTGAACCACGGGGGATCTCCGATCATTCTTCGGGAATTCTTTCTTTCAAAGTTGGTAGGCGTATTAGTCAGCGTGGTTTTCAAAATTGATAATATAGTGACGTCTCATGTGGATTTTATTAAATCTGTGGAGGGGGTGTGGAAGAAACCTCATCGAGGCTCTTATATGAAAAGAGTGCTTAGGAAAATGCAAGATTTAAAAGGAGTTTGTCGCCGGCTTCGTAATTCTTTTGGTTGTTTGGATAAAAGGGTGGCTAGTTTAAAAACGGAGCTTGAAGTTGCTCAATTGGCTTGCGATCTAGACCCTTATAATGATTTGCTGAAGGAGGACATTGCTCACCTCTTGTTAGCATATCAAAAAGCTAGAAATGATCAAATGGAAATGGTTCGACAAAAAGCAAAGATTTCTTGGCTAAATGAAGGTGATGGTAATTCAAAGTTCTTCTTTCATGCTATGAGAGAAAAAAGCCATAGGAGTCATATTGCTACTATTATTGATGCTGCTGGTACGGTCTTCGTTAATCAAGAGGTGCCTAAAGCCTTTATTACGCATTTTGAAGGTATTTTGGGTACGTCTAATAGTTTGGTCAATCCGTCTATGGAAGATTGTGCTTTTGTTCGCTCTTTATCGTTATCAGAATCTTTGCACTTAATCAGACCTATTACAGACATGGAGATTCAGACTGCGCTGTTTGATATTGGGAATGAAAAGGCACCTGGTCCTGATGGGTTCTCGTCAAAGTTTTTTAAAGCAGCTTGGAATGTGGTTGGGAGGGATGTTCTCATTGCGGTACATAATTTCTTCTACTCTGGAACTTTAGAATMCCAGTTGAATCATACTCTTCTTTGCTTAATTCCAAAGGTCCCCAATGCTTCTTGTGTTACTGATTATAGACCTATTGCATGCTGTAATGTTTTGCTGAAATGTATCAGTAAATTTATTGCTGATAGGATGAAAGGTTCTTTGGATTTTCTCATTAGCAAGGCTCAATCTGCTTTCATTCCTGGTCGTCAGATAACTGAAAATATTCTAATGGCTCATGAGCTTTTAGCTGGCTATCAAAAACATCAGGGGGAACCAAAATGTGCTTTTAAGATTGATATTCGCAAAGCCTATGATACCGTTGACTGGCAGTATCTTCTGGGAATGGGATTTCATCCAGTTATGCTTAACTGGATTAAATCTCTAGTCACATCGCCTACTTTCTCTATATGTGTTAATGGACAACCAGAAGGTTTTTTTCATGGAAAGCGAGGACTAAGACAAGGGGATCCTTTGTCTCCTTATTTGTTCACGGTGGTTATGGAAGGATTATCGATGATTCTGACAAAATGTATTGGGGAGGAGGTTTAGTTTGCTTATCATCAAGGTTGTGCTGAGATAAAATTGACCCATTTATGTTTTGCGGATGATCTTTTTATCTTTTCTAAGGGGGACGCAATTTCAGTTGAAGTGCTAAAACATGCTCTCCTTATGTTTGAAGAACGTTCGGGTCTGTCTCCAAGTCTTGCTAAAAGTGAAGTTTTCTTCGGGAATGTGGGGTTGGATGTTCAGAATATCATTCGACACAGTCTTCCTTTTCATCCGGGGGTTTTTCCTATTCGCTACCTAGGAGTGCCTCTCTCTCCTGTTCGTAAAGGTGCGTGCTTTTAACCCTCTTGTGCTCAAACTTAAATCTCGTTTGATGAATTGGAAAATTAAATTTCTTTCTTATGGGGGAAGAAGATAACTCCTGATCCCTGTGCTTCAATCTATGCAAACCTATTGGATGTCGGTATTTCTTGTGCCGGCA